AAGCGCTGCTAGCAGAGCTGTGACCTCACTGAGGGTTTAAGTTTTAGTCCCTACTGCAGCACAAACTACCAACTGTTTCATGCAGTTTGTACGCAATCAGCACAAACCACATCGTCGCAATATGGCTCCTTATCTGCTAAAGTTTTATACTCACGTGATCCTGATGAACATCTGTGCGGAGGATTGTGGGTCAGGATGCAGTCGGACATCCTGGTACTTTTAATTATATGATGTAATACATACTGGGACATACCAAATGTTTTCAGGTGTACCACAAAGCATGGTAGAGGCGTGTCTGCAGCACACTTCCTGAAAGGGGAGGAGCCAACAGCTGCTCATTTGAATTTAAAGCTACAGAAAAAAAAAAAAACCCAGAAGAATTACAGACAAGTCAGGATGAACAATCTGCAGGATTTTGAGCTGAACCCTGAACATCTGACTTGCATTAAATCGCTGTATAATGTGAGACCATGAAGCTTTATATACGTTTTAAATAAACAGAAGATAAACCAGACTAAAGAAAACAAAATGATTTTTATTTGCAAACTTTTCATATTAATATAATGCATTAGATAAACATTAATAAACAACATGATGAGACAAAAAAAATATAGAAACTTTCAACATAAAATCAACAAACATACACAATAAAATCAGTGTGAAACTAAAGAGGTAAAGAGAAATAGTTTTTATGGCAAAGTACAGCAAAATAAAAAATACTACAGCGTCACCACTTTATAAGTTTGAGTAACTGTAAGAATACAAACAGGTCCAACATCACTTGCAAAACTCTTTCACATCCTTCCAGCTGACTGATGCTGTGAATCACTGATGGGGGTTTTATAGGTAGTATGTTTTTACAGTCTCCTCCTCCTCCTCCTCCTCTCGGTCGACTAGACGTAGTTGGATTTGATGTTGGAGCTGATGGACTCGGATGATTGTGACCCGCAGCATCTCCGGCAGCTCAGGAAAGCGCCGCCGGCCACCGTGAGGAGTCCACCGGCCCAGCTGACGAACACGGCCTTCCCAAAGTCATAGCTGCCGAGAAAAGAAAAATAAAAACACACACGTTCAGATTCACATTTGTTCAGCAGATCAGTGTTTGTGCACCGAGCCGGTCGTACCTCTGCAGACGATGTGATTCCTGGAAGGTCTTGACGATCATGTTGACGTACCAGGAAGTGATGATGATGGTCAGCAGACCTGAACAGAGGAAGCACATGATGATGTCAACAGATGCACTGATAAATCACCTCAGAGGGACGGAAACACAACGATGGTTTAGATTTCTCAAACAAATGCTTAAATTCACACAATAGAAAGAAAAATCCTGACACATTTGAGAAGCAGAAATCTGAGATTTTTCTTTTTTTTTTTGCAGAATTCCTTAAAAAATATTTAACATTCATCAAAATAGTTGCCAATTATTTTTCTGTGATCAACTAACTGACACGTTTTTCCAGCTCTCACCTGAAACCATGAAGATGATTCCTCCCACCATCGCGGTCGTGCTTTTGCTGTCGGGCATGCGATCCATGAAGTGGGTGCACTTCATCCCCACCGTGGAGACCACCATGGCTATGGCGGAGAGGAGGAGGCTGAGCAGCATCACCGCTCTGGTGGCCTGGACCTCAGCTGGAGGAGCACAAAGGGCAAACGTTACAGAATGTACAGTAAACGTCTCATCTCTGCTCCTGAATGCAGCGCTGTAGGAGACTGCATCCTTGTCCTCTCTATGACTGAATGTATGACAGCCAAGCAGCCTTTTTCTGGGTTATTGCACCTTCGAAGAATGTCAGCAGCAGACAATTTAAGAAAAATTAAACTGGAACAAAAATGGCAATTCCACAAATATACAAGGAGAAGACTGACTAAACCAAACACACCACCTTTCTGCATTCCTTCTGTGAATATCAGCCAGATGCCAAGAAGCTGGATGAGGTCAATCCACTGCAAAACTGGCTAATTATAGCAACCTCAGTGGAAGGTATCTCAACAAGCAGCGCCTGGAACATGCAGAAGCTAAGATAAAAAAAAACTCACTGGGCAGCTTGAGCATGGACTCGTAGCTTTCACACGTGGTCCTCTCGGTGCCAGTGCAGCTGCTCCACAGACCCTCGTAGGAGCGATGCTTGCCCTGGGACTGCTTCTTCCACTCCACCATGAGGGTGGCGGTCACGGTGGCGGCAACACCGGCCAGAGCGAGGAGAAAGCCGAGCAGCTGCAGTCCGGAGCTCGCCATCGTAATCCAGAAACCACAGCAGGACGCACGACCTCGGGGGAGCAGAGAGTCCGAGAAGTTGGTGGGAAAATTCCTGATGATGTAGAAAACCCGGTGATGAGCGGTGGCTGAAGGTTGGTTGGACTGTACTTCCCTCCTCGGAGCTCCTCGGACCGTTATCCGTGCGCGCCGCTGGAGCCTCTTTTTAAAGTCCAGGACGCATGACGCACAGAGGAGGTCGCTGCTCCACCTGCAGAGGATGACGGGAAGAAAGCTGCTCCAGAAGTCTTATCTGTGCAGTGAATGGATGCTGGTAACACAGATCCCACGGGCAGGAGAAAGGTTTTGAAAAGTTTTACATCGTGAAAAACTTGCAGGTCACGTACAGGGCACTGTAAAAAAATAAAAACGGTTCTTATCTGTACTTTTAAAAGAAAAACATTGACTGATATTTTACAGATTTTTCTTGTTTTGTTAAATTATAGATAATAAGAGGTAAAATCACAGGAAAAAAAACATTCATTTGCATGTTCACCATATAAAAACAAGGAATAACTAAATTAATGTAAATAACTTCTGTACAAAGTGCAAAAAAGTATTTATATATGAAGACTTTAAACGTTGGAAACACATTTTATAACTCATTTTTATATATTTTTATGAATTGGTGCTATAAAAATAAAACTGATTTCAATTGAATTCTCTGTTTTGTTAGGTTACAGATAAGCAAAACTACAGAAACCCCCAAATCAGTCCACATGTTAACCATAAAAAACAAAAGAAGCCAAAACTACTGTACTGTACATAATGTCCACATCAAATATCTATATTTTTTTAACAAGTATAATTTGTTCTTTTACGATGTCTGACTGTACAATACCACTATTCACACTGTGTTTAAATCAGTAAAAATGCAGTTATTTTACAGATATTTGCTGTAATCTGCAAAAAGTGGAGAAAAAAAGAGGCCAATATTTAAAAAATTAAAATTGGTAAAAGAAAATCAGATCATTTGAGACTTGGTGCTTGGATTTTGTTCAGTGACTCTCCATATCTCAGTCAGTTTAATCCACAACAGACAACATTCACTGGTCTTCACAGTGTTCAGATGGTTATATTTTACTCATTGCATGCTGTGTGAAGCCTGCAGTCATAAAATGAAGCCAGATTTTTACAGTGAATGGAGTAAAAACATGCAGACGGAGCCACTGCCATTTTTTTAATCGAGACTTTTTTCCTAATTGCCCATTTGACCCACATAGATGCAAATCTTTGGTGACATTATTCTGTAATTGCTTTGCTTCCCTCTTCAGCTGATTAATGGACAATGTGATAAACAAAGAAATGATATGTTCAGTGTGTTCCACATTATCATTGTTTTACCGTTTTATCAGTTAAACTAATGTTTTGTTTGATGCATGCGTGTGCTTTTGCACGCAGAAGAAAATGTTAGCGTGTTATTAACTGATGCAGTAGGCGTCTATTGTTGCATGTGGACGTTAACACGCATCTCAAGAACGACTGAAACTAGAAGCAAAAAGGACAAAAAAACACAAGCAACAGAGGAGGTCTTTTACCCAAACAACTGAAGGTTAACATATTGTCCTTCCCTCAGCAACGTACAGCAGCCAGCTCGTGTTTATCTTCATGTTACTCGGACAATTACCAAATTATTTGACCATATTTGGTGAAATGGACGCCAGCATGTAAACACTTGCATTTGTCTGTCAGATGGGATCAGTGTCCACCCTTTCCTGAAATAAGCCTCCATCAAAACATGTGGCTGCATTTAGAGTCACAGCTCCCATCTGAATTATGCCTAAAGCCAGTCCCTCCGTGTCCCACCTTTAAAAGCACTCTAGTTTATGTAATTCGTTTTTGTCACTCCCATTGTTTAATATCACTTTCAGGGTCTGCTCAGGTCAGACTTTATTTTCCTGGGAATTCCTGTTTTATGCTTGCAGCCTGCAGCCAGAACCACATGCTCGACGACAATATCAGGAAACCTGCTTCGATTAAGTGCCTGGATTGGATAATGCACGATGAGAATTCATCAAGTCAGGTGCAGAAGTCTGACAGCAAACCGGCTTCCTTTCATGAAGGAATGGGTGGGTGAACAAGAAGAAAGCATGTCATCTGTTATCCCGGCAGTCTGTCCTCCCACATGATGCTTCATCAGGCTGCCTGTGAAGTGACTCACATCCCAGGAGGATTTGGTGAAGAGGAGCCCATCATAACGAAAGTAGAATGACTGGTGACTGGATGTCAGCATGAGTTGCAGGTGTTGGAGTGTGAAGCATGTAACAGGTGGTCATGAAAGTCTGAAAAGTTGTGTGTCACTACTTTACAGCAAAATGTTGAAACAGGTGCTTTGAAACATTGACTGTATACA